CCTTTTTACTGTGTTTGATTTTTGATGATTCCCATAACACATTGGTTAAAATTAAATAGACATGTTCTTTGGTATTACTCAAATACATTTTAGTGCTAAACTATATAAAGAAGGATATATATATATTAATATATTTGCCCCCAAACTGCCTGTTAGATGAGTTTCTCAGATGGACCCCTATTTCTCTACTGACATTTCCATCTTGGGAGACACCCCCAGATTATAATGATAGTAACACTGAAATTAAAATTTCTCTAAGGGTGAATTTGACCTAACCTATTGAGGTGTTACCGTAGTTTATAGGCAAATTTTTATGGAATAACAAACACTGGAGCCTTTCAGTCGGTGAAATATTTACCCCTCACATTCACATAGCCACAAGGATTTCTTTTTCATAGGATTCCTGCCTTTTTACTCCCAATTAAATCTGCTTTGGAGAGAGTTTGTGCTCCTGTGAGATTCACAGGCTATCAGAAATAAATGATAGACAAAGATATATGGAAAATAGCTCAATGGGCAGGAAAAGAGTAGATTCACAGTGATGATACCTATTGTTTTAAATGCTAACTTCCATGAATAGAGAACTTCCTATGTTTGGTTTTAGACTAATGCTTTTTTAACCTATATTTTTTCATCTTCACAACATTTTTTCATCTTTTCATCTTCACAACAGCTGGGTTTTCGAGAGGCTGCCTTCACCTCCATTTCACTGATGAGGGAACTGGTACTCAGAGCATCCAGCCCCTTGCTCAGTGATACATCCAGAGATGGGAAGCCGGGGCCGGGATCTGCCTGGTCCCCAAGCTGAGCTTGTGTAAGAAAATCCTCTGCCTGAAAAAATGGGCAGGGGAGAAGGGAGCCTAGAAGTCACCAACTGAGATAATGTGTCCATCATGGTAGAAAGTAGGGAAGACCACTAGACCATTCAGGTATGACCTAAATCAAATCCCTTACAATTATGCAGTGGAAGTGAAAAATAGATTCAAGGGATTAGATCTGAGAGACGGAGTGCCTGAAGAACTATGGATGGAGGTTCCTACATTGTACAGGAGGCAGGGATCAAGACCATCCCCAAGAAAAAGAAATGCAAAAAGGCAAAATGGTTGTCCGAGGAGGACTTACAAATTGCTGAGAAAAGAAGAGAAGTGAAAGGCAAAGGAGAAAAGGAAAAATATACCCATTTGAATGCAGAATTTCAAAGAATAGCAAGGAGAGAGAAGAAAGCCTTCCTCAGTGATCAATGCAAAGAAATAGAGGAAAACAATAGAATGGGAAATACTAGAGATCTCCTCAAGAAAATTAGAGATACCAAGGGAATATTTTATGCAAAGATGGGCACAATAAAGGACAGAAATGCTATGGACCTAACAGAAGCAGAAGATGTTAAGAAGAGGCGGAAAGAATACATGGAAGAGCTACACAAAAAAGAACTTCATGACCCAGATAATCATGGTGTGGTCACTCACCTAGAGCCAGACACCCTGAATTGCAAAGTCAAGTGGGCCTTAGGAAGCATCACTACCAACAAAGCTAGCGGAGGTGATGGAATTCCAGTTTAGGAGCAAATCCTAAAAGATGATACTGTGAAAGTGCTGCACTCAATATGCCAGCAAATTTGGAAAACTCAGCGGTGGTCACAGGACCAGAAAAGGTCAGTTTTCATTCCAATCCCAAAGAAAGGCAATGCCAAAGAATGCTCAAACTACAGCACAATTGCACTCATCTCACGCTAGCAAAGTAATGCTCAAAATTCTCCAAGCCAGGCTTCAACAGTATGTGATCTGTGAACTTCCAGATGTTCAAGCTGGATTTAGAAAAGGCAGAGGAACCAGAGATCAAATTGCCAACATCTACTGGATCATCGAAAAAGCAAGAGAATTCCAGAAAAATATCTACTGCTGCTTTATTGACTGTGCCAAAACCTTTGCCTGTGTGGATCACAACAAACTGTGGAAAATTCTTCAAAAGATGGAATACCAGACCACCTGACCTGCCTCCTGAGAAATCTGTATGCAGGTCAGGAAGCAACAGTTACAACTGAGCATGGAACAATAGGCTAGTTCCAAATCAGGAAAGGAGTACATCACAGCTGTATATTGTCACCCTGCTTATTTAACTTATATGCAGAGTACATCATGAGAAATGCTGGGCTGGATGAAGCACAAGCTAGAGATTGCCAGGAGAAATATCAGTAACCTCAGAGATGCAGGTGACACCACCCTTAAGGCAGAATGCGAAGAACTAAAGAGCCTCTTGATGAAAGTGAAAGAGGAGAGTGAAAAAGTTGGCTTAAAACTCAACATTCAGAAAACTAAGATCATGGCATCTGGTCCCATCACTTCATGGCAGATAGATGGGGAACAATAGAAACAGTTACAGACTTTATTTTGGGGGGCTCCAAAATCACTGCAGATGGTTTCTGCAGCCATGAAATTAAAAGATGCTTGCTCCTTGGAAGAAAAGCTATGACAAATCTAGACAGCATATTAAAAAACAGAGATATTACTTTGCCAACAAAGGTCCATTTAGTCAAAGATCTGGTTTTTCCAATAGTCATGTATGGATGTGAGTGCTGGACTATAAGGAAATCTGAGCGACGAAGAGTTGATGCTTTTGAACTGTGGTGTTGGAGAAGGCTCTTGAGAGTCCCTTGGACTGCAAGGAGGTCCAACCAGTCCATCCTAAAGGATATCAGTCTTGGGTGTTCATTGGAAGGACTAATGCTGAAGCTGAAACTCCAATACTTTGGCCACCTGATGGGAAGAACTGACTCATTTGAAAAGACCCTGATGCTGGGAAAGATTGAAGGCAGGAGGAGAAGGGGATGACAGAGGGTGAGATAGTTGGATAGCATCACCGAATGGATGGACATGAGTTTGAGTAAACTTCAGGAGTTGGTGATAGACAGGGAGGCCTGGCGTGCTGCAGTCCACAAGGAGTTGGACACGACTGAGTGACTGAACTGAACTGATGGTACCTGGAGCTCATCCATTATTAAATCATCGACTTCATGTAAAAAGGCCCAAGTAGTGTGTGTTCCCCATCACGGACTAGGAAAGGAGCCGGGTTATACCAGCACACAGAAAGATGCAAATGTTTTCATAAAAGGTACATGAGGACAGCCACATGGCTTTGGCTTATAGATTTTTTCAAGCATCTCCCCTTCGCCCGTTTCCTCAGTTCTTTATCTAATATCATTTAAATAAGTATCAAATAATGACATTCCTAACCGTTTGTCTAGGGAGAGTATTCCACTCACTAATAGATCTCCCTGTCAGGGAATTTTTATGGATAATTATTTAGCAACTTTTTGCTATGGACCTTGGAAATGAACAGCACGGATGGGGAGGCACCCGAGTCTGCTTGTGACCTGACGATTTCAGGCGGTGCCAGTGACACTAGCGGAAGGTGGGTCTGTAACGTGGTGTGCCGCCCAGTGAGTGATGTCTGTCGGGCCTCCAACGGCCGAGAGCCCCAGCCTCCTGGGAGAGACCAAGTGACTGTCCCCTGAGCACCCCTCTTCCTCCGCCTGGACTCACCTTCACTCAGCACCACACAGCTTTCTACCCTGGGAGCATCACCCAGCCTCCAGCCCTCGCCATCTCAGACAGAGACGTGCCCTCTCTAAGTCCTTCTTCCTGTCCTGTTTAACTCCATGCAATACTTGCGATCTCTGCCGTCCAGTTCAGAAATAACCAGATTTCTTTTCCTCTTGGCTTCATGGGTTTGTGCCTGCCCTCTTTGACGCCTGCCCCAGGGACCTCAGCCAAATACATCAAGGTAGGGTTTCCTAAAACCCCAAAGAAACTGGAACCCTAAAAAGCCTTTTACAGAAATGTAATGACTCTTGGGAAAACGTAGCTATTTTGCCCCAGGAAAGTTAACATTGTGTTAACCTACCTATCCTCTTAAACTCTGTTTGGAAAAGGTAGCAGCTAGTTCATTTTTAAATATAACAAGCATCCTATTTGTATTTACTTTTCATGCCAGCAACAATGTACTTGGTATTGAGTTGAATACGGCTCCAAGAGAAAATACAATTAATGAATAGTCACAAGGTTGCTAATCTGATCAATGCTTGTCTGTGACCACAACTGCTCAGAGCCTGTGGCAGCGAAGAGGACCACACTGGCTGGCGGAGCGTGTGTAGTCTGTTAACTACTTGAGGGGCAGGGGAGGGGTGCGGGGATGTAAACAGATGTGGGAAGGAGAGAGGGTGTGTAGCGGGAAAGAAGGGAACCAGCTGGAGGGCTCTAGCTCAGGGAGGTTATCCTGCAGCAACCGTGGCACTCTCTGCTGGGCCCCATATTCAAAAAGGAAATGAGAACCGAAGACATCCTTCATGAACCCCACGTCTAATTCCAGGTGGGCATGTGGACCACAGAAAGGAAGCCACAGACTGAGTCACACCATTAGTTAAAGACCAGAGATGCTGCCCTGGAAGCAGGGCTCTTTTCCCTGTCAAGGGCCCTGCTTGCTGGGAATTAAAACACGCCCAATGCCTGCAGGTTCGATCCCTGGGTCAGGAAGATAGACCCCTGGAGGAGAGAATGGCTACGCACTTCTGAAAAGTCCCATGGGCAGACAAGCCTGGCAGGCTACAGCCCGTGGGGTCACAGAGAGTCGGATGCGACTGAGCACCCGAGCGCTCGCACGAATGCCGAAACACGGCCCGGGCGGGCGTGGGGTGGGGGCAGTGCAGAGGGCGAGGCCCAGGGGCCTTCCTCGGGGTCTTCCTCTGTGGCCCCCAGGGGCCCGCCTCTGAGGGCCGGGAACAAACGCGAAGGCAGGCTGGCGGGCTGCGCCCTGACCTCCGCCGTCGCAGGCCCCGAGCGCGCGCTCCTGTCGTCTCGGCCTCTGACACTGACGGCGGCCTCTGCTGGAGAAGCCCGGCAGACGGCCTCTGACACTGACGGCTGGCGCAGTGTTGGCCCGCTCGCAGAGCAGGGACTCCCAGCGCCTGCTCCTCCCCTCCTCCGCCCCTTCTCTCCTGTTTGCAGCGGCACCGAACGCCCTCTGAAGACAAGGGTGTCCTGGCCCCGGTGTGCGGCAGTGAGGACGCAGGGGCTCACGGCTCGGCGGGCGAGGACACGCAGGCCCCTCTCTGCGGACGTCCCAGACGGCGGTGGGCGGCGTGGCCTGGCGGCCTCCGCGTCGGCAGCGCCAAGGCCTCGCACGAGGAGGCCCCACGCGGCCTTTCCCAGGGGCGGCAGGGCCTCTGCGAGGCCCAGCGCTGCGGTCGACACTCTGCCCGCGAGCCTTGGCGCACCGCGTGCGCGAGCCCTTCCCAGCGCCCTGGCACAGGGCGATCAATGCTGCAGCTAAGTGCGCAAGCCGTCACGCCGATATCTGCCAGATCGATGGGAGCCCACCCCGGGCGGACTGTGAGGTCGGCGGGAGGCCCCAGAAGGGCTTCGCTCAGGGCCTGTGTGGGGCCCCGGCTCCTCCGTCTTCCCCTCGGACGGCCGCAAGGTGCGCTCTGGGCCGGCCCGAGAGGCCTCGCCCTCCATGTGGGCCGGCGCCAGACCCCGCAGAGTGGCGGGGGCTCCTGGGAAGGCCCCGACGGGGAGCGCGCGGGCGGAGGCGCTCTTCTCTCAGCAGCTCGGGGGCAGCTTCGTGGGTGGCTCCGCCGGGATGTCCCATTCTCAGCTAATGGACAGCGTGAGTGTGCGGATGGGGAGAAAAGCAGGGCATGTAGGCCCTGGCGTTAAACAATCAGCAGTCCGGGAGGCTGCCTGAGCAGGAAACGGCAGCTCAACCCAAAGGGGCCTTTCAGATGCCTAGTTTTGTTCTGAAGTTGCCGGCCTGCTTGCCTCTCTCCTCTCTTTTTTAAAATTCCTTTTAAAAACCATTACAATCAAGCATTTATTACTAAAATATTGAGGCCAGGGGAAGTACTTCTATGAGCTATTCAAGCCCAAAAGCCTCAAAGAAGATGGGACTCTGACGGTCTAATTGATTTTCTTCTAGAATAAAATTAAAAGCCAGGCAGAGAGCAGCAAATAGCACTCACCTTTATTGCACGCCTCGGAGCTTCGTAAATAGAGGGCGACGTTTCAGTGTTGGGTTTAGGGTGAGGGAGGAGGGTTATGAGAAAATGGAAAACAATTAGGTTGAGAAAGGAGCGTGGGTGGCGGGCTGCAGGGGAGGCCCCGCAGGCCGCAGGCTCGGAGAAGAGTGCTCCCTCTCTGACCCCCGGGCCCTGCCTCCAGGCCTGAGGAGCCGAGGTGCTTCCCCCCTTAGCAGACTGTAAACACAGCAGAGTCCTCTCCCTGCGATCCCTGGGAAATGAGAGGCCATTTCTTGCTCGTTAACTGGGAGACGCTGCCGGTGTGAAAGCGGCCGCCCAGCCTGGGCACCGCTAATGGAATTTTTAACTCGGCCTAACTGCACTTGAAGGTAATCAGCTCCGGGCCGGTTGTGCATCCTAAGTCCCTGTCAGGCTGACAGGAGGGCGGAATGAGATGCTTTGATCACACTTCTCTCCAGGGCACTCTTTCCACCGGCTGGGGCACCAGCCTGCGGGCAGCGGCCTGGGGCTGTGCTCCCCTCCAACCCCAGACACCCCCATCTGATGTGGGGCCCTGACTTGGGTTGTGCTTTTCAGAACTTTAGTTACACATCGCTCCCCCTGGAGACGGAGAGCGTGGAAGTTCAGGGTGTTAAAGGAAGCCTCTGCCCTGTAAAACCTTCTTCACACAGAGCTATTTCTAGCAGGAAGCAGTTTGTACGTTCCAATTTTCAGTATTCACCCCAACTCTGAAGTCACGGAATGTCATTGAAGATGCCAGCCAGGTATTTTGAAGTTGGTTTCTTCTCTTAAGACGAGGCAGAATCTTCAGCCAGGGACCATTCAAGAAGCAAGAACTTCAGCAAGAAGACTGAGGTAATTTTAAAGGGGACACTCTCTGGTTGTTTGTGTAACTTTTTCCCCTTCTCTCCTCTAGTTCCATTTTAGAAGCTTGAAAATACAATTTTTTCCCCTTTACCAATTTTGTGTTTCTCTATTTGGCAAACATTGATTCTGTTCTGTGTCCCAAATGGAGGTAAAATTAACTTGTCTGTTTCTTAAACAAAAATAAATAAACAACTTCAATATGTATAGCACAGGACCCTGGCAAACGGTCTTTGCAGTATGCCAGTGTCACCAAGGAATGTCAGCTCAGCACCGTGATTAGCATTTTACAATTGCTACAGAGCCAAGTGTTGAGAGAATAACAAATGCTGTTTTGTGCCCCATGAAAATTACAGCTAAAGAAATGGATTTTTTTCAGTCATATAGCAGGAAATTAAAAAAGAATCTGAGAGCCTGGGCTCCAGATAACTTTCTTTCTCAAGTTACTAATTTTAAGATCAAAATTGAGGTCTAAAAATGTATGCAAAAGTTAATTTAGTTTTACTTTTAAAAAACTTTCTCATTTAAAGTTTTATGAGTTCAGTGTAGAAGGATTTTTTTAACCCCAATTCCCAGCTTGAAAAATAGTTATGGTTAATAAGTGAAAACAGAAGCTACAGATGAGAAATACTTGCCTGATATTTGCCTATTATACCTGATAACGGACTTGTATGTAGACTATATAAAGAACTCTGACAATAATCAGACAAAAAATAACAACAATTAAAAATGGGCAAAAAAGGCTGAAAAGACACTTCTCCAGAGAAGATAAATAACCAATCAGTTCATGAGAATGTGTTCAACACTACTGAGTATCAGGGAAATGCAAATTAAAACTAGAGTGAGATCTCACTACACACCTGGTAGGATTGCTAAACTTAAAAAGAAAGACCATATCAAGTATTGATGAGGATGCAGAAGAACCAGAACTTTCTCATACTTTGCTAGTAAGAATCTAAAGTCATACAGCTACTTTGAAAAACACATCAGCAGTTTCTTGAAATACTGATCATATATTTACACACAGCCCATCGTTTCCACTCCTAGGAATTTACCTAAGAGAAATGAAAACAGGTCCACAAAAAGATCTACAAGCAAATGTTTATAGCTCATTTATTCAGAATTGCTCCAAAGAGCAATGTCACTAACTAGGGAACAACCCAAACGTCACTGACTAGTGAACAATTAGAGAAATTGTGGTATGTCCATTCAGTGGAATGCGATTCAGCGATAAAAAGGAATGAATTGGCACACAACAGCATGGATGACTCTTAATAACATCTTACAAAGTGAAAGAAGTCAGACACAAACAACCACACACTGTATGATTCCATTTATAAGACATTCTAGAAAGGGCGCAATTATTGGGACAGAAAATAAATCCCTACAAAGGGACACAAAGGAACTTTTGGAAATGATAGAAATGTTCTATATCTTAATTGTGGTGGTAGTGACACAACTGAATATTCTTGTCAAACTGTATACCTTAAATGGGTAAATTTTATTGTGCGTCGATTATCTTAATAAGCCTGACTTTTAAAAAAGAAACTGGTGGGAATTCCCTGACTGTCCAGTGGTTAGGACTCAGCTGCCAGGGTCTAGATTTGATCCCTGGTCAGGGAACTAAGATCCCATGAGCCACGTGACACGGCCCAGAAGAGAGAGGGAAGTTAGGAAGATAAGGTTGCCGGTGCTTGCATGCATATATGCATGCTCAGTCGTGTCCGACTCTTTGCAGCCCCACAGACAGTAGCCCGCCAGGCTCCTCTGTCCGTGGGGTTTCCCCAGACAAGAATACTGGAGTGGGGTGCCATTTCCTCCTTCTAGACATCCTCCTTAACCAGGGATCGAAACTGCATCTCCCAGGTCTCCTGCATTAGCAGGCAGATTCTTTTTTTACTGAGTCACTTGGGAATCCCAAGGTTGCCAATGGTAGTCTGAAAATGGCCTCCAAAGACATCCACGTTCTCATCCTGGGAACCTGTGAATGTTACCTTGTGTAGTATAAGATGTGTTTCAGGTGAGGCTTTGGGATGGGGAGATTGTCCTGAATTATCCCAGTGGACTGTGAATGCAATCACAAGTGTCCTTGTAACAGGGGAGCACAGGGAGACTTGCCATAGGAAAGAAGGCCATGTGCCAGAGGCAGAGAGCGGCAGGGCCGCAGCAGGCCTGGGGATGGAGGAAGGGCCGCGAGCTGGGGACAGGAGAGGTGCCGCCGCAGCCCTCGAAAGGCAGGGGGCAGGTATCCCCTTAGCACACACCCTTGCCACACCTTAACTGCAGCCCAGCGAAACTGATTTTGAGCTTCTGACCTCCAGAACTGTAAGAGAATAAGTTGTCTTGTTTTTAGCCACCAAACTTGTGGTAGGTTGTTACAGCAGCCGTGGGAAACTAATACACAAGGGAATAAATCAAAATTAGAGCTCAGATTGCGAGAGGCAATCCTGCTGTCATCTAGTGGGAGACCTGTTGGCTTAAACCAGCATCCTTAGACTTCAGTGTGAGTGAGAAGCATCTGAGATGCTTTTTTTAAGATGGGGTATCTCCCACCCCACCCCCATATCACCTTACCCTTACCTCCCCACCTCTACCAACCTGATTCAGCCCGGGCAACTGCATCTGGGTCTAAAGCTAATGTCCTGAGTGCCCCCAAGCTTCAAGAAACCCTGGTCTAGATAGCATTTTCCATTTCCTTAGAAAGTTCAGTACAATGACTGTTTCTTTTTCTTAGGTAGAACACCTTGTTTTGTGTCTGACATGTAGCAGGTGTATTTATCTGTTTGACAAGTCCATCAGCTCAGACCTCGCCAATGGCCTCTGTGTGTGCCGAGTGAATTCCGCATTCTATGACCCTTGCTATAATCCTATTCTTAATCTAGTTCTGCTAAAAGCCATTGGTACAGGAGCCTACCTTGGCCAAGTATGTCAGTCATTTTACTTTATAAATCCCATGGCCTCATTCACTGTCTTTAGATTTCAAAAATATCAACAGCAGACAGGCTTTCCAAATCATGAAAGGGAGGCCAGGCGAAACAATTGTCAAAATATAAACACACACACACAGGGGAGTGGTGCCTTTTGCTTTTGGTTTCTCTTTCCTACCCATGAAGTCCAGAGCCCATCTAGATAAAACACTGGCATTTGGCAACCCACCTCCCTCTTTGGCATCCCTCCGTCCACCAGATGCTGCTTCTGTCTGCCCAAGAGAAAGTCCTTGTTGGTGGGGGGTTGCGTCCTAACCCAGCACCAGCCTCCCCCTTGAGGCATGGCAGGGTCAGCCCTCACTGCAGAAGATGGACCTCAGACATAGACCAGCCCGAGGAGGCTTCCACATTAGTGATGAGTTTATTGCACTTGACGCTCAGACTGATATAAGGAGTGTGTCTGTGATATGAAATCAATAGAGCTTAGACCCCTCTGTAGTTGCTTGCACTGGATGATAGCTAAGAGAAGCCTGCAAATGTCTAGGCACTCATATGAGATTCATTTAACTTGGTTAGTGAAGCTGACAGTTTGCATAGTTTGAAAGTCCTCCAGTGAAAACCCAAGCCCTATCAGATAACAATGGAAAAGAAAAAAGTGAGAGAGAAAGAGGGAATTTTAAAGCCAGAATTATTGAACAGTTCCATTTGTATACAGGCTAATTTATGTTTCCATGAGAATCGGCCAGGCTACTCCAGCAGTTTTAGCAATACATTGCTCTACCCATGTTTATTAAATATTTAAACATCTCATTTTTATTGAGCTATAAGGTTTGCTGAAT